GCGGTGGGGAGCGGTTGGGGGTGGTTGGAGATGGGCGCAGCTTGCGTTGGATGCCGGTTGCGCGCGCGCCGCACATGAATAATGGGGGCCGGGCCTGTGCAACATTTTGTGCATTGGGAAGATGGAACATGTTGGAGACGACTGCGTTTTGGCGCTAACGATTTAGCAAGCTGCAACCATGTAGTTGGATCCTCCCCACGGTAATTGGAGCCTCAAAACTTTGAATGGAGCCTCAAAGCTGTGATTCGCGCCCCACAGCTGCACCCATGTAATTGAAAGGCCGCACAAAACCTCACACCTGACGAAAGAAAACACCATCTCGCGGATGCGGCGCTCGATGTCGGTTGGCTGGTCACCCACGGGCACCTTAGTCATGCCCGGCAGGTCGATGAGCGTCATGGTGCTGGGGGAAGAAGATGGGTCAGCGTGTTGGGGGTGCGGGTGGGTGAATTCGGGATGCCTGGGTAGTGGGGCAGAGCTGGGCAGAAGAGGTGAGTGATGTTTTCTTTGTTGGGGTGGTGAGGGGCAGGGGGAGGGCACTAGGGGTGGGGTAGGGTGAAGGGGGTGGGGTGCGGTGAGGCAGGCGCTGGGCTACAACAGAGGGATGCCCGCGTCACTGCAGCAGCACATGAGGGCAAAGAGTAGCCCCACGCATGTGCTACCAAAGGGATGCAAGCCCTGACCCACGAACCCCAACTGAGCGCGGGACACGGGGCAGCGCTCAGCCGAGCAAGGCGCGCCCAGAGCCTCCAGCCCCGCCGCGCTCACAGAACGTTGGGGGAGCAGATCTTCAGGCGGATGGGCTTGTCGCTGACGTTCTTGTTGGCGCCGGACACGCGGTCGGTCTCACTCTGGATCTCCTGCCTATCGGCCGGAAGGCGGGCGGGCTGTTGGCAGGCCAAGCCACGTGCGTGCTGCTGTCGCTTGCTGTCGTCGCCCACAGCAGCAGCTCGGAAGCATCCCAGCAGCGGCTTGCTGGGGCCGTGGTCCCAGAGGGGTGCGAATTAAGCACGCTGCCCTGGGGCAGGGCAGCCGCACCGCTGAAGCGCCCTCACCCTTGCGGGACAAAAGCAGGCAATCGCGCTGCTCCCGATGCGGCCGATAGACACTGGCAGGCAGTACCAGGCTGTTCACCTTATCCCATCAAAATCCGTGAAGATGCGTCCAGGCGCGTGCAGAAACTCCCCCCACTCCCGCGGCTGCCGCCCCGCCGCCGCGCCGCCGCCCCCGCCCCCGCTCGACGCCGCGCCGCCGTCGCTTGGCGCAGCCGCCCCCGCCGCTGGGCCGTCGCCGCCGCCGCCGCCGCCGCTGCTGCTGGCCGCATCCTTGCCACCGGCGGGCTGCGAGGGGACCTTAACCAGCTGTAGCACCAAGGGGCGGCGCGTGCAGATGTCCGGGCCCCTGGGCAGGAAGTCCCTCCCGACCTGCGGCGGCCATCACGCACATCATGGCATGGGCGGAGCGCGGTGGGTGCTCCGGGACGCCAAGACCAGGCGCGCGTCGCGCGGGCAGCGGCAGGGGAGCGCTGGCGGCGCAGGGGGTGCGGCGTCGGCGGGCGAGTGCGCTGCGGTCGGCCTGTGTGCAGCCAGGGTGGCCCGGCTGGGCGGGCGGATGGGCCCCATGAGCACCCACAGCCCACGCACCAAGGCTTCGAGGACGCTCGACTTGCCGCTGCTCTGGCTGCCCACCACTGCCACCTGGGGCAGCGCAAGCTTGAAGTCGAGGGTGACCTGCGGCGGGCCAAGGGGGCGTGGCCGAATGGTCGGGTGCCCCGCGAGTCTTGGTGCGCCGATGAGGTGTGCGCCCGGGCACCTGACGTTGCCGCATGCACGCGCCGACGCAAGGGCTTCAAGCCCCGAGTCGCTGTCACAGTGATGTACATCGCTGTAGAGAACGCATGCAAGGGGCAAAATCAGCCTTGTGAGCAGAGCGCTGTGCGCGGGGCCCCTAGATCGCCTGCCAACCTCTCCCGTCCTCCTTCCCTCCCTCAACAAACCTGGCTGAATATATCCTGCAGCCTGTTGATTACAGGGATCAGCGAGTCGCCGAGCACCTCCTGATCCTCCATGCTGGCTTTGTTGGATCGTTCGCCTCCTAAATCTACTGAGTAAGTGGAACGCAGCTTGCCAACCTCCATCGCTCTGCTCGGGGCAGGGGTGGTTGGTGCACTCCGGCGCCTTTGGTAGTTGCGCATGGGCGTGGACACCCGCAGTAACTGGAGTGAGTGAGGTCGACGAATGCCCGTTTGCGCGGGAAGCAGCCACCTGCATCTTGCGTCCCATTTTTGCCTCTCATAGACAGCTGTGACCACGGCACGTCTAGGGCCTGCTATATGGCTGTATCATGCAATTCAAGCG